AATATTGTAAAAATAATGAAAATTATTATGTATATAATAAAATAATAAAAATTATTATATACATAATAAAATAATAAAAATTATTATATACATAATAAAATAATAAAAATTATTATATATATTTTTATTATTATTTNTATATATAATACATATTTATTATTATAATAATAGTAATATTATAATATTAATATTATAAAAATAATAAAAATTATTATATATATAATAATAAAATATGTATATAAAATAATAAAAATTATTATATATATTTTTATTATTATTTGTATATTATATATAATACATATTTATTATAATAATAATATTAATATTATAAAAATTATTATATATATTTTTATTATTATTTATATATTATATATAATACATATTTATTATTATAATAATAGTAATATTATAATATTAATATTATAAAAATAATAAAAATTATTATATACATTATATACCTAATAATAAAAAATTCTGTCACTCCGTATGAGATATATAAGATTCCCGTACGAACAAACGTGCTTGAAACTGCAATTTTTTTATCACTGATGAGAACCAATTTTCGTTTCGCTGCAAATACCCATCCAATTCTCACTCCCCCTCCCCATTAATCTCTCCAAGGCGAAAAAAATTCCATTATTCCGTGTAAACGAGGAAAACCTGCGCGAAGGGGACCCCGGATCGTTTCAAGTTTAAGGGGGCAGGACAGTTCGACGGGCCTAAAAATTACGAATACTTCGGAGAGCTAGTAAAAAACAAAAGTACGTATTTTATTGACGCGAGCTTTTGTGATTTTAACACATCATGAACTATAAAAAGCAACATTAAAAGAAGAAAAGAAAGGTTTAACTTTTTAACTTCTTTTTACATTGCCTGTCGGCGTGCGTGATTCCAGCCAAACAGGATTAGCTGCAACAAAAAGGAAAGAAAAGTTGCAAAGTAAACAATATTCTCTAGGTATTGACGATCCAACATTTTTCATATTTGTGAAAATTATGAAAATAGCAGCTACTTGTTTCTGATCTATCGAATTTGTGCCAAAAATTTCTACGTTTTTTGCTTATAATTTTCGAAATTGTTAACAATTAAAAAATGTTCGATCGTTAATCCCTAGTAAATGTTGCACTAAAGATACGTACCAAGTTTCACGGTAATCGGTTGGTTAGATTCCGAGATATCTTGCACACCGTTTCTAAAAATCTAGTTTCGAGAGAAACGCGTTTAAAGTTTCAGAACGTCATTTTTCACATGTATCCTTTACTTACATATCGCGGCTCAGAGTTCTTATTTGAATCCAAGTCCCCTAATACTCACCATTCACCAAAAGTAATATTTGAACCACGCGATTTACACTTTACTGCTTAAAATTGCAAACAGTGATACAAATTCAATTATTCTATATCCATAGATTTATTATTACATCCCAAAATAAATCGTTTTCAAGGCCAGCACCATTCGCATCATAATTCCAAGACTTCAAACTACCATTCAAAACAAACAAACAAACAAAAAAAAGAAGTCGATTTTTTAAAAATTTCAAACTCTCCCGATCCCTTAATCGGTATTCATCCAATAAGTCGTGGAAAACGAATCGGTTGTCGTCGCTGCGCTGACGGGAAACGTTTTCGTCGGAACAGGCGAGAGGTCCCGTCGGATTATTCGGGGGATCCGGGATATCAGAACGAACTTGTTGACCGAAATAGCGAAAGCCAGAGGCTGATCAATTCGGCCAGTTAGCCAGCCCGCTTGGACTCGTCCGCTGCTCCGTGGGGCTTAACAGATTAAGCGGTTCGCGTCGAGTTTGATCGAGTCTTCTAAGTCTTTCATTACGACGTCCCTGAGAGAGAGAGAAAGAGAGAGAGAGAGTGTGGGTGGGAGTTTATTATTACGGGCAGAAGAAGAAGCGAGAACGTCTTGTTTGTTAAACGAGGGGAGAAAAGGAAGACGCAAAGGGGTCACCGGTGGCATCGGTTCGGTGGCTATCTTCTCAGAGGGGGGGGTTGAACTCACGGATGAGTCACAATGGTCAGAATAAACCGGAGGTAGCGTACGATGGACGTGGACGTCAATCAATTCGACCGGGCAAACGTCTTTATTAACTCTTTGCTGACCCGTCCATCGGGATTCTTCGTTGGGGGTTGCTGGAAAAGCAGGGGCGAACGCTAACGACTAATCTTCTATGCATTTTTCAAGCTTTTTTGTAAACGTGATTGAAGAAAGTTTCTGCTATATACTGTTGTTCCTCTGTGGATATTTTATATGTCTTTGCACATGCAAAATATATAAATACAAATGTAAAAATGTACAAATGTACAAATGTACGAATGTACAAATGTACGAATGTACAAATGTACAAATGTACAAATATACAAATATATACAAATATACAAATATACAAATATACAAATATACATATATATAAATATATACAAATATACAAATATACAAATATATACAAATATACAAATACACAAGTATACAAATATGTACAAAAATACATATATATACAAATATATACAAATATACAAATATACAAATATATACAAATATACAAATACACAAATACACAAGTATACAAATATATACAAATATATACAAATATACAAATATACAAATATACATATATATACAAATATATACAAATATACAAATATACAAATATATACAAATATACAAATACACAAATATACAAATATATACAAATATACAAATATACAAATACACAAATACACAAATATACAAATATACAAATATACAAATATACAAATATACAAATATATAATATATGTGTATTTGTCGCACTCTGAAACAATTGCCCCCGAAAAAATGATTAAACGATTGTTGGAATCACGCAAGGCATATTCTATTTATTAGTATGCAAAAATAAAAGTTTTAGACTAAATGCTCGTCGAATCGATATATATTTGGCAATTACTGCTTGCAAAGCAGAGAAAACTGCCTCCAAAGTGTCAATAATGAAAAATAAGTGTAGAAGAACTCGAGACACGACTGAAGTTTTTAACTATTCTGTTAACTACGAACAATATAATATACACTAGATCATTGTCGTATGATGAAAATCAATATTCGTCTATATTCTTATAAATGTAGATGTATTTACAGTGTGTATTCTTTACGTTACAATTACATGCAGTAAATAAAATTTTGTAATGAAGGTTTTGCAAGATTAACTGTTATTTGCTTTAGCTCATGGATCTGAAAATGAAAGTCCCAATGGCTATTAGCTTCAGGTTCAACAAGGGTTAAATCTGTCGCTGCTGATTAGAATAATTGATAATGAGGATAGAGATGAACATAATATGAGAATTGAATGTTTTACTTATCTAAATGTTTACTAAACACATGTTTAAAATGATTCTATCACTATAGAAATTTTGTGGATTTAGCTACTATAGGTATATTTTTTTTTTTGGAATTTGAATAATTTCTTCGTTTTAATATGTGCTAATTTGCTTTTCTTCTTTTGTTACGTCGTATTTTTTTATTAATTTATCAAGGACAAGCATTGCACTAACGTAACAATTCTTTGCCATCAATTAATGTTATCGAACTTCATTTTTTATACTTCATTGTGTAACTTAGAGTTCGTTGAAAATTCATTAAATTATTTGTCAGAAAAAGACTAGAAACAAGATTGAATAGAAAATAATGTAAAGATCATGAGCGTCGTTGATTTTATTCAGTAGCTTCATGATCTTCATATCGAGTCAAAGACTTCATGCTGTCTTTTTATTGTATTTGTACAAAACTCTACACGTTTTACACAAATGCTTAGATTCAACGCGACAATAACTCCTTATGGCGCTCAAACAGAAATGTAAAATGAACATTTGTGAATCTAAAATATGAAAAACGACTTTTTTTCCAATTTATCACCTTAATCCTTGGTAAACAATGTTTAATGTTGTCAACTTGGTTTTCTAAATAAATTTATCACCTTAATCCTTGGTAAACAATGTTTAATGTTGTCAATTTGGTTTTCTAAATAATTTTTATAAAATTTATGAATATATTTTCATAAAATTGCATTAACAATAATAATGATGATGAGACAGGTTTAATAACAATTTTGTTTAGTTTACAATTATGAAATTCAGTATTGTTGAAATAACTTCAAATTATTGTCAAAGGAATAAACATAATTTGTTACGTGATTTTATATTTTTTAAATATCTTAATATTTATAATTGAATTTACATTGTCAAAACAAAATATATACTAATCGAATATCTTAATATTATTGGATTTATATCATCAGAATGGAATATCTACTAATATTTAGAAAATCTAGCAGAAATTCTATTTTATAATTTCCAAACGCTAAAATATTCAAAAAATAAAGGTTCACATAATCTACTACACATTAAATTAAAATTATTATATTATATTAAATTAAATTATTATATTGTATTAAATTAAAATTATTATAATCTACTATACATTAAATTATTAGAAAATTTCTTTTCCCCTTCTCCATACACGTTTACGATATATCGATCATCAAATAACAGAAAAGTCTAATATAAATATCCGAGCATAAAGGATTAAAAATGCACGAATATATCAATACAAACGTTGTCAACGATGCTTTATCCGTGAAACAATTGTTTATTAAAAATCAACGTCATTTTTCTTTATCTTTCAATGAGATTCCTGTTAGAAATGAATGATGGAGAGGAACTGCCGCGGAATGTTGATTCCTCGAGTTCCGTTTGTTCATTACTATTCAGCGTTAGTTATATACACAGCAATATGCAATTCGATGCCGGCTGTCGAATACAAATCTCTGTTTAACACACGATATCGTTACACGATCACTATGGATCTGTCATATTCTTTACGAAAGCGTCTAAACTTAACTCGATGAAAGACAGAAGGATGTTAGATCGCTTTGAACGATCGCCGTGGCGATTCGAATGGAAAAACACGTTGGACAAACTGAATCCACGTTGAAACCTTCGGTATGTTTCTGATTCCAGGTGCGAATCGAGTTAGGTCATCAGCATCCGCCGCGATGGACCATTTCGACGTACATCAGGGTACCCATATACTCCAGGTAAGTACAATTTTGCATTCGAATCACGTTTCGAAAACTAAAAAAAAAAAAAGTTACCGCCAGTAATGAAAGATCTCGCATCAATTTCAAACTGGCTGACCTTATTGGAATTTCAAAACTGTTTACGATAAATAAATGAAAGAAATCTCATGTGTAACTAATCTTATCAATGACTTGGAAAAAGATTTTACTACAATGGTTCACAAAGTAAAATGGCTTGATCAGAACTCGGAGATTATAGTAGAAAAATTTTCACATCATTGTTTTTGCAAAGTAACTGATTTTATTTATACGAGGGATATTTATTTTAAAGTTATTTACAATAAAAGGAACTTTATCCATCGACGACAGGGGAATGTAACTAATTACATTAGAGATTCAAAACTATTTACAATAAAAGTACTCTAAAATTATTTACAATAGAAAACAAGATCTTGCATCAAGCATAGTGACTGAATTTAGAATAATTTTGAAGAAAATTGTCCAGCGATTCGAGGAATAAAACTCTGAAAATTACTTCCAGCCCCATGAATGTTCTGTGAATTTTCACTAAATCAGTAAATCAATTGCTTATCAATAGATTGAATTTTTATACATACTCATATTGTTGTTGATTTTCATTTAATCAAAGACTTAGTTTACCTATGTATATTTTTTTAATATGCATTCTCTGTATTTTTGAATTTCTGAACAAGTGCATAAAAATTTGTAATCTTCGTTAATATTAATATTTATATAAAATGTATATTTCAAGAAAACCATACGACATTGATCTGTAGGAATTTCCTCTAATAAAATAGAATAATGATAGAATCAAAGTACGATAACAGCAGAAAACAGAATGTAAGTATATTGCGAATGTGTATAAATGTAATCAAAAAGCTAAAATCTAAATAGATAGTTGCTTTATCGATTAAAAATTGTAACCGCAGTTTCTTGCATTGCATTTTTAAATTTTCATAAACACCATTGACGAAATGAAACTTGGATGGAAGACTGTTTCTTCCATGGAATTATAATTAATAATCTTCTTTGGATATTTTACATATTGTTGCACAATCTGTGCATTTTTGCAAATCTTGCAGCTTTAAATAAAAATCCGCAGTCCAATTACAACAAATACTATACTTCAGACACTTCGTACATTTTTTTTGTCCAAGTTTCAAGTCTCTCGAAAATTCATAAAAATTCGCAGTATACTAACATTATGAAATATCATGGAATTATAATTAAAACGAGAAAGATAAATTTCTAGTTTAACAGCTGTTCCCAGTATTGGGACTATTTTCGTCTATTATAACTTGCAACTTAAAAAAAAAAAAGAAAAGAAAATTAACGAGAACATATGTATATAATTCCTTTTCAACCTCTCCCGATTAATTTCTCGTTTTGATGATGAAACGAAGCTTTCGTTAAGGCCGGAATTGAGAAATTTATCAAAGAAAATAAAAAAAATACCGACAGAATCGTCGTTAGAGGAAATTCCGAGAAAGACGCGGTTATCGCGAAAACTGACAGCGGGGGGGAGGGGGCTGGAAGTGATCACGAGGTAACTGGGGATGGCCCCGACGAAAAAGAAAAAAAAAAAAAAAAGAAAAAAGAAAAAGGAGAAAAGAGTAAAGAGAGACGAAAAGAGGAAGGAGATGGAAAGAGGCTGAAGAGCGATTGCACTCATATTTTCCGTTTCAGTCGCTGGACGGGTTCGCGATGGCGGTCGCCGCTGATGGACGGTTCCTGTACATATCCGAGACCGTCTCAATTTACCTTGGACTCTCACAGGTGAGTGTGTAGCCAACTTGTACGTTCCCTTACGAATCGTCGTTGTAAACGTGACTCGTTCGCGGGGATGTTGATGGAACCTGGACGCGAGCGAGAGTCGTGCTCGCAGGGATGAAGTCAGAGAGAGAGGGCGAGAAAGAGAGAATAAGAGAAAGGTAGGAAGGGAGAGGAAGCAAAAGACGAACGAACGAACGAACGAACGAACGAACGAACGAACGAACGAAGCCGAGACGTAGGAAAGATAGGTGGTAGCAGCGCGGGGTTGGGTGAAATGAAGCGGAAGACATATAAGACACAGGCATGCACGTGAGGCTGGCACGTATGCGCGAGCCGGAAGGGCAAAGATAGCAGCACACACACCGAGGGAACACGGCCCCGTGGAAAAAGGAGAAGTTCGATGAAGAGGAACGGGAGGGCGAAGAGACGAAGTCGGTGGCGGAGGTGGCCACGGCGAATGGTGAAAAAGAGGAGAACAGACGAGGAGAAGAGGAAAAAGAGGCGAAGTAGCGTGGCTTGGAAAAAAAAAAAAGAAAGAAGAGGAGGTGGATAAGGACGAGAGAGAGAGAGAGAGAGAGAGAGGAGAGAAAGAAAAGGAGGGAGAGGTCAAGGGAGGAAAAGAGGAGAAGGTTGTATGAGTTGGCGGCCATACTGGCTGGCACCAAGCATGACATAGACGAGGGAAGGATGGGTGGTGGTTGGGGGCGGGGGTGGTCGCATGCGGCTCACGTAGCCTCTGCACGGCGGCGTGTTCGCCATTCCTAATGCTGCCAGTGAAGGTAGATGGAGAAAAGAGAGAGAGAGAGAGAGAGAGAGAGAGAGAAAGAGAGAGGAACAGCTAGACTGGGATGGGAGTGTGGAATGGAGGACCGGAGGAACAGAGATGGATAGAGAGATAGACGAACGGAGGAAGAGAGAGAGAGAGAGAGAGAGAGAGAACTATAGCGGGAGGAACAGGAGGTGACCGGTGTACCAGCTCGGTTCTGCGAGACTCGTGGAGCAATCAATAGGGTGTTTCGGGGATTCGGGAAACCGGCGCCGACGTTGCCACAAACATGGCCGCCGGCAGCCCCTGTGTTCCGGAGGTATTTCTTGCTGCGAGAGAGAACCGGCCAGCTAGCGGTACGCGTACACTGAGGATGCTACGCCTGCCGACATGGAAATCGAATCGTCGAAGCTGTTCTTTCATTCGCCTCGTATTCCAATGGTATTGTCGCCGAAGACGCCTTCTTCTTACTTTCCTCCCGTTCGTAGTCTGCATCCCCCATCGAGGAACGCGATATGCTTCCGCGGCGTTCCACTACGTTAACGATCCCCCAAGTCTCGTTGGCGAGGTTGATTTTTAATGGCCCACCCCTACGCTGTTTGGTGGGTTACGAGAGTGCTGGTTTTAGTATTATTATTATTCTGTCGGCAAGTTCGATTGAAATTAAAGTTTCCGTGCCCGATGAAATTGACTCCCTCTTTCTCCTTGTCTCTCTCTCTCTCTCTCTCTCTCTCTCTCGACTTATCTCTCTGTCTTTCTCTCGGTCTCTTCCTCCGTCGATCGACAGAGCCGATGGGAAACCGTGCCCCTCTGAGCTAGTAATCTACTTCGCGGGATTTACATACTCTTACGTGCTTTGTCTTTGAGCGAGTTTGCCGGAATCTTCGGATCGAAGGGTAAATCGACGTGTTAGGATTGCGTGAGCGTTTGAATAATTGCGCCGGGCACGAGAGGAATTTTGATAAAAGAAAAAAAATATATATATATATTGAATGGTAATAACATTCGGTAAAGATATTCAGGTAATTTGCTACCTGTCGAATAATAAAAACCGTGCACAAACAAATGATACCAAAGCATTTTTCACTCGGATATTTCCAACAGTGTCATTTTATTGAAAAAAAAAAAAGAAAAACTCGCAATTAAATAATGGGAGCGTTATTTCCAACGAAAAAGAGAAATTGTTTTTGTTTCTCGTTGTTGCCGGTATTTATCGATATTCCGCCCTCGCCGTTCTGCAAAGTTTTAATAATAGAATTTCCGTTTCAAACGTGCCCCGTGTTTTTTAGTAGATTTTACGATTCGCTTGGAAAATACCGCTTTAAAAAGAAAAAAAAAAAAAAAAACGATGAAGTTACTCGCATTTTTCTTTTTCTCTTTCTTTTTTTAATACTCTACACTCTTAAACACGGGTTGTTCGAGAAAGTTTTCTTTTTTTCTTCACGCAAAGACAGATAGTTATTTCGAGAGGGAACGAGACGAAGCCGTTTTCGGTCACGTCGAAGCAGTGTTTCGTGGAAACAATCGTATTAAGACCCGCAGAATTTTCCCGCAGTGAGACTGCCACGAGAAAGCTGTCTCCGACTGCAGTTTTTCCTCTAATTAAGTCACCTTTCTGCAACTTGTCAACGAAATTACAATGTTTAACGCGTTCTTCTCGCAGAATTGCATTCATTTCCTTCCTCAAGTTCTTTTGGAGAAATCCAATAACACACTTCGACTATATGTTAGGAATTCTCATTGAATTTATTTATTACAAGTAGCTACGGATTTTTATGCATTTCTAAAAAGATTTGTTTGACAACACAAAAATACATAAAATATCCAAAATAGAGCATTACGAAACATTTGCTAGGCGAAACAACAAGTTTTCAAATAATTTACATAATTAAAATTCGTATAATACTTCAAACGTTCAGGTAAATAGACTCGATTAACAAAAGTTTAATAAACAGTTGTATTATCTAAATAGTTATATAATATATATTGTATATTAATCTTATATTAATTATACATTAATTTTCATGAAAATTTGTAATTTAATTATAAAACGTCACAAAATAAAGAAATATTAGCAAAGAAAATATTCTAAAATGAACACAAGATATCGGAGAACGTAACATTTTAATATAATTTATAAGATTTTTAGTATAAAAATACTAATTTACGTTAGCAAATGTTGAACACTAAAACTAAACACGAAAGTATAAAATTTGTAGGAAAGAAATTGAAGTCCAAGGAAAACACTTGTGATACAGTCAAGAACACAAGCTTCTATTTATATATTTTACTAAAAGTCATTCAGGTCTCTAAAAATTATAAATTTCATACTTCAAATGCTGCATATTATATCTCTCGATACTTTACAAATTGAGCCGTTTAATGGAAAAGTGACACAAAAATACGAATTTCTAAATAACGAGACATACGATATACAATTTTTGTAAAATGCAATAACAATGCAATATTATATATATCATATATATTATATACTATTACGGCATTTCTACAAACATACAATGAAACTTGAACTTTCAAATCGGCAAAGGATTGACTCGCATCGATTTTGCATTAAACGATTCGATTAATGATTCGTGCAACAATAATATATCGCGTGTGTAGCATAAATTACCCAAAACGGCGGCGACAATTTCTAGAAAATATAGTTGAGTATAATTTGAGTTAATCCATTTTTTATGAAGTGATAATAATAATAATATATATGTGTATGTATATATACGTATATATGTAATATATGTTTCATATATATTTAAAACTCCACTTTTTATGAAGTGATATCAGTTTCATGTATATAAATTAGTATTACCAGTATTATTCAGGTATGATTAGTGTTATCTCAAAAAATAATCTTTTATGGTCGTAAGTTTATATTATATATATAATTGTATATGTATATATATGTATATATATATATATATATATATATATTACATAATCTATTATACTCTTCCAAATAGAATTAAAAGATTACATAAAGTAAAAGATTTAAGATTTTTTTAAATGGAAATTAAATATATAAGAAGTATGTTCAACTCTTTGTATAATAAATGATAGTTTAACAAAACTATGTTCATTTTATTCTGATATGCATATATATATATATATATATATATATATATATATATATATATATGTGTGTGTGTGTGTGTGTGTGTGTGTATTATATATAGAATTTTCTTGTCACAATTATTAGGATATATGATTAAAATATTATACGTCTCACTTTTAAAAATGTCCCAAAAATTAGCGACACATTGTTATATAGTTGAGTGTAGTTTGAGTTAATCAAGTCCACTTTTTTATAAAGTGAGATCAGTTTCATATGTGTAAATTAGTATTACCAGTATTATCCAGGTATGATTAATATTAGCAATTACAACCATAAAAATAATCTTTTATGGTCGTAAGTTTATATTTTATATATGGAAAGGAGAACAGACACGGGGGAAAAATTAAATTTCTCTGAGTTTCAGGTAGAGATGACGGGGTCAAGCGTTTTCGATTACGTTCATCAGCAAGACCACGCGGAAGTCGCGGAGCAATTAGGCCTGGGACTTGCTTCGAACAGCTCTTCCGGTCCACACTCGTCGAGCTCTGGATTAGCGTCGCCAAGTAGCGCAGCGTCCGAGGAACACGGTTCATCTTCCACCGCGAATCCCGACGGTAAATTTCTGCGGTGATGTTTCTTTCTTTTCTTCTTTAAACGCGTCGCGTCTCTCTCGTTGGCTGAAACGAGTCACGGCGGCATCATTCGCGTTGAGATCGCGAAACTGATAAACTTTGAGCTAGCGGTTAAAGGATCCTGAATAGATCTGTCAACGAAATAGCAACGAACGTTTGTTCCTTGTTCGAACGTGGTTTTAGTCGTTCTATCTAGAAAATATTCGTTCGTTTCGAGTTTCGTCTCATTTTTTATTCATCTCTTGAAGGACATCGTCGTGATTTATGAACGCTTCCTTCAAATCCGGTTTAAATTGAATATTGATAACGTGAAAAGAAAAAAAAAATCTCGTAGAATTTTAGAAATATTTAAAACGAAAAATACGAATGTATCTATAACGTTTCTTACATTTGTTGAATGTCGACAAACTATGCTAGACGGAAATATTATCGGTGTTTTAAATTCTGTAATAACTTCGTAAAATAATTGATCGAGGTAATTCACTTGGATTCGTATTAAAGCGTGAAACTTCTATTCTTCAGCACTGAGTTCGCTTATATATGTGCATATTGCGCATTACATTTATACGAATTTTTACACAAATATTTATATGTTCTTTGTAATTTAATTGCAGTGTCCTCGGTAATGTCATTATCAGCAAATAATCTTTACAAAGGATACGACCGCGCGTTCTGCGTGAGGATGAAGTCTACCTTAACGAAAAGGGGGTGCCATTTTAAGTCTTCTGGTTATAGGGTGAGCACACTGTTCTCTTATAAATCCTATATATTTCTAAAAGTTCCGTTCACCTTCTTTATTTCGTGTCAATGTTACTTAAATATCTTCATTCTACGTTTCAAAGATGTTGGATTTTTTTTTTTTTTTAATAGCCTTGGTGTTTTAAAGAGGCTAAAATTTGGAGATTAGAGTCAATTTTTCAAATTAAAAACCAATTATGAATTTACTTGCGATGAAATTTCAAATTTAGTCGCGAATCGAGGATTATCAATCGCGAATCAATCGTGTTCAATTAACGAAACCAGAGATGTTAATAGACGATTATGAATTCAGGTCGTGTTGCTACTGTGCCGTTTGAGACCACAGTATACGTTTAGCCATACAAGAAAGTCCGCGCCGCCATTGATAGGCATGGTCGGTCTGGCGATCGCACTTCCTCCGCCAAGTGTGCACGAAATTCGCCTGGAAACTGACATGTTCGTCACACGGATCAGTTTTGATTTTCGGATAGCACATTGCGAACCAAGGTGAGCGTTACAAATGGGCTACGAATTTCTATGCATTTGCTGAGAGAAAAAAAAACGTATGTAAAAAAAAATGCATGTAACATACAATAACAGAATAACAGATTTTAATAAATTCTATAAACGTGCAGTAGAACTCCGTTTATATGAACTTCATTTGTTTGAATCAAAATTTTAACTAATACTCGCTTAAATGAACTTTTACTGGTTGAATCCACTTATTTGAACCTGTATCTCTATTATTTGAAAAATCATTAGATTATAGAGAAGAATCAGAAGTGAATTTCTAACAGAATAACAGATTTTAATCTATAAACGTGCAGTAGAACTCCGTTTATATGAACTTCATTTGTTTGAATCAAAATTTTAACTAATACTCGCTTAAATGAACTTTTACTGGTTGAATCCACTTATTTGAACCTGTATCTCTATTATTTGAAAAATCATTAGATTATAGAGAAGAATCAGAAGTGAATTTCTATCATATGAAATCCAATATTTATCTCTCGTTTATATAAAATAAATTCATATAAATGAAATTCCACTGTGAATTACCGATAAAATAGTAACTGTTATATAAAAAAAAAAAAGTGAATGGTTTCAATAGGATTACAATCTGATGCAATTAGTTTGTCTGTCTATAACCAATTTAACCAATTTAACCAATAATTAGCATTTACAAATTCATTTATTATAATATTTAATATATGAAACAAATTTTTTGTAATCACGTTGATAAAAATATTTTCAATTTATTACATTTATATTTATCCGTGAGATGTTTGAAATTTTCACACCTTTTTTTTCTGAAAAGTTCTTAAATTAGATTGCATTGTTATTTGCCTTATATATTTTTGTATTTAATTAACTCGTTCACAATAATTTCATATTTATGTGTTGATTTATAGGGTGTCCGAACTATTGGATTATACAGCCGACGAATTAACGGGGAAAAATCTTTATACATTGTGCCATGGGGAAGATGCGAATCGTCTTCGGAAATCTCACATTGACTGTGAGTATTTTTACCAGTTTTTTTTTTTATTCACTTCGTTCATGATTTGCCAAATCATCATGAAATATAAATTAAATCAGTAACTTGATCCTTTAATTGTTATTTTAGTTCCATTGATATATCAATGATGTATTTATACATAATATAATATATAATAATACATCACAATACAAAATATATATTAAATTATATTATGTGTTATATTAATTATTTACAAATATAATATTACATCAGTAATAATAAGTATATTAATTATTTCAGTAATTCACAAGGGACAAGTGTTGACACATTATTATAGATTGATGAATAAAAGCGGAGGATACACGTGGCTACAGACGTGCGCCACGGTAGTGTGCAATTCGAAAAACGCCGAGGAACAAAATATCATCTGTGTCAATTACGTTATAAGGTAAATCTCGTAAATGGCGTAAATGCAACATCGTGGCCAGATCAAAGAACAATTATAAAACGTGAACGAATATTTTCAGTGGCCGGGAGTACGAAAACTTAATCATGGATTGCTGTCAACTGGAAGAGGGCGTGATGGGTGTGAAACGTGAGGACGCGGCTGGAAACGATCCAGAAAATGGATCGCCAGATGCCGACAGAGGAGGTACACATCTAACGATCATCCATTATCTCGATCTTATTCCCATTATTCTTCCCAAGAATAACCAAATATAGCTAGTTCACCTTCGTCGAGAATCCAAAACTTTCTAATCGCTAAGATAGCATCGTAACGCATTTCAGAAGGAAGAAATCACGGCGGACCATCGAACCAACATCAGGAACGGCCTCACAGATCGCCACCGGAAGATCGCGAAGATACTCGCGGCTCGGAGAGCGAGAAACGAGGCAGCAGGCACCACGACAATATAGCTCAGTTGCAGCAAGAGCCACAGACGGCGGTCGGGAACATTAGCACGCTCGTAGTGAAATTACGTGGACACAAGCGGAAGTTGCACGAGGACGATAGCAGCTCGAACGAGGAAGAGGACGAGGAGGACGACCCAACGGTGAAAGTCACGAATAACGAGAGAAGCCACGCTCTAAGTCCAGCTCCATCAAACCATTCCATTTCAGGAGGTGAGCAAGTACTATGCTCGGCCAGTCCGAAATCGAGACGCGTGGACGATAGAACGAGCAACGCGGACAGTGCCGGCACCTCCGTGAAAGATCTAGAACAAGCGATGTCCAAGCATCTGCCGGTTCAAAATCTCAATAAGTCCCATTCGCCGACGCTGCATCAGCCAACGGACTTTAGCACGGACGCGTTGCTCAAGCAGCAACAGCAGAGGAGTACGATACAATGGATCGGTGCTCATCATCACTTAGGACATCTGAGTCCGCAACAGTCGACCACCGCTCCATTACCAGCGTCAGCCCTTCTACGACAATTGTACGCCAACAGGGAGAGCGTGATACGAGCCAACGTGCACGGAATCACGTCCAGTAGTAATACAAGAACTACTTCCTCCGGTGGAACGTATTACGCCGGGGACACGGCACCCAGCGGCCCTCTGCCCACTCCGCCTGGCTCCGAAGGATCCAGCACTTACGGTGAACATCAGTTCGTACTGGCAACGCACAACCAGAAGAGTTCCACTGGGACAAGTTGCGCCGATGCGTTTACAAGTCTCGTTTCCTCGTACTCCACCGGCAGCGGTTACACGGTCGATTATCACTCAGCGATGACACCGCCGTCGTCCGTTTCACCGCGTGACAAGCAACAACAACAGCAACAACAACAGCTGCATCCGGTGAACGTGATCAGCAGCTACGAAGGCTCGTCGGCCTACACTGATCCCGTGTTACGACACCAATACGAGCCAGCGCAACCGTTGCCTTTGAAGCCACAAGTGTACTCGGCGGCCGTTCATCCGAGCGCGTTGGACGCCGCTGCAGCGTACGCCTCGGCTGGCCTAACCGAGCAAGCGCAATTTTACCATCACCCAGCCGCCGGCGCTGGTTTCCACATTTACCATCCGACGAACAAGTCGACGACGAACGGTTGGTACAGTTCGACGTCCTAGTGGCGTGCGCCAGTACGCAAGAGTGTACTTAAGTAACTGAAATTACTGAGCCCAAAGTCCCTACATGCATATCAGTGATATCATATTCATCTCTGTACACCGATTTCCCTCTCGTTTCCCCCCCTCTCTCGTTTTTTCCCCCATACGTTCGTTCACGTCGCCTTCTTTCTGTTCTCTCCCGTTTTTTCGCTTTTCTCCCCACGATTTTTCACTTTCACGTCGACAAGGCGTCGTCGTCCACGTCTTTCCCGAAGCTAGTTTTCATTCTTTGCTCTTCCTCCCTCCCACCCTCCCTCCCCCCTCATCCAGCGATCATACGCGCGCATCCAATGTGCCAATTGAACTGTAAAAAATCGCTGCTCTCTATTCTTGACTATGTAGAATGACTTATTGTAATATAACAGAAATAAATTATTATGTATGTTGACATTTTCGGAGATATTCGCGAAACGGAGGATAGAAGTTTCTAAAAAAGAGAGAGAAAAAAGAAAAGGAAGAGAAAGGGAGAAAAAGAAAAAGAAACAAAGAAGAGAAGGAAAAGAAACAAATGAGTCACAGAGGACAAGAATATGTTATGGTGCGACGCTCAAGGGGCAAAACGGTGAATCTCGAAACGCGGCGACCAATTTTAATTCAATATAGTCCCACGTGAACACGAGAACAGCGCGCGAAAGAAGGAACAACGGAGAAATAAAGAATAAAGGTTCATCAGCGTTATTGCTGTAAAAAGAGAGAGAGAGAGAGAGAGAGAGAGAAAGAGAGAGAGAGAGAGAGAGAAAACGCCGGTGTGGTTGTTAGCGATAAATTTACTCGAGAAGCCGTACTTGTCGTAAATTTTTTATACTTGTAACATTTTGTTGCGTAAATACGATGACTTTAGTGAAGTCAACAGTGCAATCGTTACACGTTTTTTAGCGTTAATTTAAGAGGATCGGATAGAGAAGAATAATGTTTACCTTTTTGCTTATAACGTAAACGAAAGAAGCGTTGTTTCTGTACGAAAGAAAGAAAGAGAGTGTGCGAGTGTGAAAGAGAAAAAAGAGAGAAAGCGGAAGAGAGAAAGTATGCAACACTACGAAGGAAATCGCTATCTCTATTGATATAGAAAAATATTGTTTCAACGTTGTTAATTTATTTGATCAATCTGTCGATTACTTTTATCACTCGTTGCCATCGAGTCACGTTATTAACTTTAATTGTTCGAATCTAGGCGTTCGTTTATCGTCAATATTAATACATATCAATTTTCCCGATAACGATAAATCACTGCCTTACCATAATTCGAACTAATAGTGCGAATGTAAAAGCCGCTTGATTGAAAAAAAAAAAAAAAATGGGATATGGAAGTGCAACGAATGTTTATTTTCAAGTTACAAATCATGGATATATAAATATGTGTGTTGTTAGAGGTAGCGAATTCTTTCTGAGATTATTATGTTTTGTTGTAAATTGATGAATTGTTTTTTGACGAGTACACATGTAAATACAATTTTATGTGCTGTAAGATCCACCTGTTGAATATTTCTATTCATAATTTTTCGGAATATTTCTACGAAATTTATTTTCGTTGAAGGAACATTGTAAGGCAGTGACTTAAAGCATTAAAATATATGCATAACGTCTCCATCTTGGTAAAACGAAACCTTGTGATTCGGTTTTCACCCTTGGGATTCATTAAAATTATGGTATAAAATGATGAAAGATTGAATTTTCATTTTATCATAATTGCATGATATTCCTTTAAAAAATAGTATGACCACATACAGTTAGTAAATCTACGTCATTATGCTCTTTAATGCTTCACAAAATTTGGACAAATTTATCAAATTTTATTCCACATCTTTCATTGGAACACAATACATAAACATTTCTTGTTTATATCTTAATTCACAGCTTAAATTTGAAATACATATATGTTATATTATTTTATTATTATTACGTTATTTATAAACTTCATTTCATCCTTTATAATTAACATTTACCTGGGTAATTTAAATTAATTTTTAATTAATTTGTATGCGCTTGAAATCGTATTCTAACATCCTAATGATAGAAAGTATTTAAAATTGGATGAAAATCAGCTTTTGCCAAATAACAATGTTCCACATATAAATACAAAAATTGGATTGAGCGCAAAAATATTTTGTATAGAGAAAATGTCTATATTAATTGATAAAATCTAAAAATACACAAATGCTGTGTATATAAAAATGCCTTAATGATGATGAATTCAAATCATTGTGGGAATTGTCGGTTTTCATTCAAATTTCATTAAATGTTAACTCTCTACTTTAAATATTCAAAGAAATGTTATTATTTTATTACTTATTATGTTTAAAAAAATATGATATTTTAAAAAATAATATTTAAACAATTACTTTTTTTTATCAAAAATAGAGCAACCAACGTGATGATAATTTCATAATTTCATTTCTGTAAATCATAAATATATTTTTTATAATAAGGAAAAAATTGCAGAAGAGATAAAGAAAATGAAACGAGAAATTACACGTCATTTCTCAGTGATGCCATATAAGGCTAAAAGAGAGGTTAATAGTGAGGTTAATGATAACCTCTTTAAGGAAATTGTTTCTCTTATACTTCATTGTACATAAAGTGCTTTTTCAAACGAATGGACTGAAATCCACAAATATAAAATTAGTTCCATTAAAAATGATCAATTCGACGTGTGTATAGAATATTTAAGAACATTAAAAAATTTTGAAATATCTAGAATCTTTGTTTATCTTTGTCACATATGTATGTATAATATAATAATATCACATAAATTCTTGATTTCCATAACTTTCCAATTTTTGGATTTTAGCCTCTTAATAAACTGAAATCAAACAAATAAAACACTTGAAATTTCTAAAATGTTAGGTTAGGTTTATCGACTTCAATAATTCCCACGCAGCATGATGTAGAAGTTCGGTGGACGATATAATACTAACCTTGAAGCAGTAAATTCAACAGTCATTGGACACAGCTTGTGTTTGTCATTCCCACACTTGTGCTTGTGACAGATACGCGGCTATATAAGTGATAAATTCAAAAGCAGACTGCAGATCTAATGCGTTATTTGAGGAGGCTTGAAAACCCTTGTTTCGTTTTAGTAAACGTTTATCGTCGGAGTGAACAGTTGTAGACACGAACCATGATCTTACGATTCGCAATCTTCGTCGCTTTCTTGATCCTAACGATCGAGGCGAAAAAGTATGAACGGTTCTCCGAAGATGAACAATGGCAGGAGTTTGAAGAATATTTAAAGTGGAAAAAAGCGAAGGAAATGCGCGAAAATCATCATGATATGTACAAATCGTCCGAAAAGGAGAAACAATCTCCGCCACCTATCGATCAGGCAGTTTTAATGGCAAGATACATTGTTAATCAAGCTGGTAAGAAAAGTACATTTTTATCACGATAATAATTTCTTTATATACCAACAAGTAATATTACAATTCTTGCTTATTTTAAAATTCTAACTGTGTAAACAGCTACTTTTAAACAAAAGCGTCGCTTATCAATATAAATTATGAATCATTTAGAAATCAACGAAACGAGTAGCTAAGAATAACTATGTACGTATAAGCTTTTATTTGTATTGTAAAGCAGAAGTTAATATTAGGTTTCTTGGCGATTTCCCAAATTTCCAATGTATAAGTAAACGAGCTCATATTGCTCAAGTTGAATAAATATTTTTTGATAATTACGAAATACTGAATACTGGATTGTAATTCAAATTTTACATTTATGTTGTCGAATGTCTCGTATAATGGAAATTTTATCATTCAAAATTCAACATTGAAAAGGTCATGGTCACGGTTAATAAATTTCATAGAACAAACAAATAAATATCACGAAAGAAATATTTTGTCTGAATATGTGTATTTGAATAAAGTCATTTGTGCAAAATGTTATAAATTATTTCCTTGTACGAATAATTTTATTATATTTATTATATTCAACTGCCTTTGAAATGAAATTATATGTTTTGTTTTTTCCTTTCTTTCTTCTCTTAGATATTTCGAAAATATATACGCATAACTTTTCATTTTCGAATAATCGATAATTACGTCTTCTTATTTTATTATTAATGATTATGCGTATGTACATAGTATATTTCGTTATGTATTTGTAATTGTATCACATTAAATATCTTAATTAATTTTATTTCGTATAATATCAGTTATTACCAATACATTTATATATGTATACAGATTGGGTGTCCGTGGCGACATTCAGCATAAGAAAGGATATCGAATCATTTCCAGCTGCAAATTTAATTTCCTATGCCGATGGACTTTTAGGAAATGGATCAGGAGTACCATATCTTTACCTTACACCCTTAGATTTTACAGCTCAAGATCTTGCAGTAAGCATTTTTATAATATTATTAACTGTTTTTATAATATTATTAACCATGTTTATAAATTGTATCTCGTCTGTACTTATTATGTACATGTGCTTAAATATTTTATTCCAATCGCAAACATACATTTGACGTTACTTATTGATAAGATAGTGAGCAATCTCATTGTATTAAACAATTTATCTTTTTGATTAAAATTTTAATTATCTTTTTCCTATTTTTATTGTGGCACGTAGTAACGAGTCAATGAATTATACTTTCAATCATAATTAAATATAATTCCAATTTAATTACAGAAAGATAGTCGAGCCTCGTTATTAATGACATTAGCCCAAGGCGACTATTGTAAAAACAAAAAGTGGGATCCTATGGACCCGCGATGTGCTAGAATTCTTTTATCCGGCAAGATCGTACCTGTTAGTAAATTTTTTATTTATAATTTATAGAATATTTAAATTAATAGAATAATAATAATACTATCTTTTTACAGTTGGAAAAAGATGAAAAAACGGAAATTGAATTTGCAAAAAAAGTATTTTTCACGCGTCATCCAGGATTAGTTAACATGCCAGCAAGTAAGAATTTTTTAATCAAATAACGTTAATTACTATAACGTCAATTACAAATAAGAAGTGTTAGAATATTAATTAATAGAATAGAATATTAATCTTAAAATATTAAATTAAATTTAAAATGTTCATTATTACAGATCATCATTTCTATTTCGCAAAATTGAGGATATTTGCAATTGTTGTATTAGATACATTCGGCGGTCCAAAATACCTCTCTATAAAAGATTATTTACATCCACCAGCAACAAATATTACTGAAGAATTTAACAAACGTTTTCCTTTAGAATTATACGAAGATAAATCTCAACAGGAACATAGTCCAATTTCCATGTTTCATCCTGTGATACGTGTGTGAATTAGCAGAATATTATAAATGTAAAACTTTCAAAAATTTTATACAACTTTCAATGTTTGATAGCACAAAATTTTCATGCTGTTACTAATTTATATTGAAATTGTAAATGAATATGGATATAATAAATAATAGATATAATAAATTAAAATTATATGCAAGTAATTTACAGATATTTGTTCAATGTACAATAAAAATTATTGTTGTGTTCTTTTGTTATAAAAAAAGAAACAGAATATTATTTTTGTAAGATCAAAATAGACAATATAAATATACATCATTATCTTATATATATTATTAATTAATCATATTTTCAATTACAACTGGGAAAATCCCTAATATTATCGCAATATGACATGTTATAGTACTGTTTGCTACAAAAATATACAGATTTTTTAATTTTAAACTCATAGTAATTTCTATAAAAATTTATTTAAGACAATAAACCCCGATTAAAGGGATGTACAAATTTTATGATATTAACTTAATTTAAGATTTCAAATATGTACATCTTTGTAATATAAAAATTACGTGTTCTTAAAGTACATTACAAAGAATTAAAATATTCTTTAGTACAGGACGTTATAAATTGCTGTAGCCTTTGTAGGTTTGCTTGAATATCTGAGCTACTTTATATTGAATTACGAATTATTTATACACATTTTACATAATTTACTTAAAAATATAAAATATTTATTATATATTAATATATCTATTTTAAAAAGAAATATTTAAAAGAATTCATGATTTGATTACAGGTCGCAAATAGCATTAATATACAATATTTAATTACAAAAGCTTACTAATTCATTTTTGCTATGTTTTTTTCGTAACAGTTTGTGTACTTTTTCCATGAGTAAGACTGGATGAGCTCAGCATAACAGAAATTTGTTCTGGTAACGGACATGCAATTAATAAAAGTTCTTCTGAATTATAATATTTACCCAATATCTGATATAACTGTGTAAATGCAGCACAAACATTATTTTTTACTGGTCTAAACAGAATGAATTCTGTTTCCTTATTGGAGAGATATAGTTGCATAAGTTGTTGAATTTCAGGACATTTAAATTTAATTATTCGCAATACTTCACTAATTGCTGCTGCAACATCTTGAGGATTTCCAAGAGCATGTTCTGGAGATGCATCTGGGATATTAACATGTAATTTCTCTTTTTCTAACAGTTTTAAAATTGGATGTATCAATAAAAATGTCGCAAGCTGTATAAGACGTTGACAAGCATATTTTAATTTATTATCCACATGCTTCCTTGAATCTATTAGTTGCTCCTTCATTTGAGGTGCTCCTTCTAATAGAAATTCTAATAGCGCATTATTTGACAATGTAAAAAGTCTTGAACTCTTTTCTAATAAACTAAATGCTGCTGTCTTAACTTTCGAAAAATCCAAACTATATTCTTTTATTGTGAAATCCACTTGAAATGGTGCAATTTGTTCTCTTAAAATGAGTAAGTGTTTTATTTGAAAAAGTTCTCCATCCAAAGGTGATGCTCTTTTTTCTATTTCTTGCTTCGCATTTTCTATACTTTGGACACAAAGAGATATTGCTTCCTGACTCAAAGACTGGAAGACAGATCTATCTACGCATCTGTATAATCTTGATAAACACACTAATGTTCTACGAACAGTAGGATACCACATTCCATGAAGATCTGCTGGTGAATTTCCCATATGTGTCTTTTGATAGATAGAATCCATTTCTATATGATTTCTGGATATCGGTTCTAAAATATTATCATCATTAGATGAAATAGATATCCTTTTCATTTTTGTTTGTCTAGATTCCTCTCTTATTGACTCTGCTATATCTTCCATCATCTTCAATTTTTCTGGATACGCCAAGTCACCTGGTGACGGATTATAATTCAAAACATCAGACTGCAGATAAAGATGTGCACGGAATACGAGTCTTTCTTGTACATCATGTAATAACTGCAGACAAATGTTACCAAATCCCTCTAAGGGTTCAAAATTGTTTTGAACATGTTCATCCAGCATTTCAATCCTCAAAATGCAACAAATTTCGGCTAATGTTTCCAAATGATTAATATGAATTATGAACGGTCTGAGTGTATCATACAGAGAAGTACATAAACTTTCAAGATATGCCGTTAATCCATTAGATGATTTAGAAAAGAATTCATAAAATAACTTATATTCATCCATCGATGCATGTAACAGTAGTGCACATGAATTTCGTACCAGACTACAGTGATCACCATTGTATTTTTCTTTCACTGACATTAAAGATTTTTGTACACTACTACCTAATACAAGTCCTCTTTGGCTCCAATAACACTGATGGCATTCAGATAATAAACTATCATATTCTTGCCTTTTATAAGATTTAACCTCAATTTGTTCTATAACTGGTCTAGCTTTTGACAAAATAGTTTGAAATCTACCATAGAAAAGTGCTAAAGCAGCATCAGCATTATCCTGTGATTCATCGTTATCTTTTAAATTCAATATACTTTCCGTAGTCTTGCTAAATAGATTAAAAATATAATTTTGTATCATAGATATTGCTTTAGACTGACAGTGCTTGTATTTGATCAAATAGGTATTGCTCTCTTTAAATGAAAGATTATTCTGAACAAAGTCTATGTTGGTATCAATTTTATCCAAAATGTTAAAAAACATCTCGCTGTTCACTGATAATGTAGGTGCTTCTAATTTTTCCATCATCATATCGATATCCTTGAAATATTTCACATATTCCGTGATGTTCTCTATGATAGAATTTAATTTCCTTTGATCAGAATCAAGCTGCTCGCTAGCATCATAAAGAGATACTGTTTTATCAGAGACTTCTGAATACTGCTTATATAACATAGTGAAATCTTCTAAAGCTTCTTCTATTTGAAGACAGAGTTCTTGACATTCTTGCCGCCGGGTTTGAAGTTCATTTAGATATAACATATACTTCATATCTTTCCTGTCCATACACTTCTTCTCTAGAGTGGCGTAATGCTTTAACAGATCTTGACATCGTCCTATTTGTACTGATTTCATAGTTTCTTTGTTTGTGCATGCAATGTCGTTTGCCTCCTCAGTCTTGAGATTGTTATCAGGGAACAATTCTTCTTCCAAATTCAGTAAACATTCTTTTTGATAATCGGTTAACGGTGCCAGAGAATCTTCTGACAGATCCCACTTGGTTAAGTTATTTGGAATGTTTTTCATTTTCGACATGATTCCTTGTCAGTGAAAACAAACGTTACGAGGCAGACGATTTTAAGAAAAGTCGTATGACAGCATATACCGCGCACATACCGTTCTGTGATGTAAATTAAAAGATCCTCTTCAAAAAACTGACACCGCAGCAATTACGAATCATAGTCGTGAAGTTGACGATATATCTATCGACTGCGGTGCAGTATGTCCACCTTATGAAATAATAAAATCTACACCTTTTAGTGTAAAAACATTTTAAATTCATTACTGTACACTATGATATAAATAACATAAATACTCCTACGATATTAATTCAAATGAAATATACTGTTATAATTAGAACAAAATGTTTTACAAGAAATTTATATTAATTCGTAAATGTTTAAAATTTTTTTACGTAATTGTAATTGAATTGAATATATAATTAATATTCTTTATTAAATTTTATTCTATTAATATTTAATAAAAATGAATTAGTTTAAATACATGGAATTTTTAAAATATAAAAAATTCTGTTGTACACTTGAAAACCAGACAAAATAATTTTACGACGCAGCGCGTAGAATCGGCTAACTCTTCCATTGAAAACAAGATCTTATTTCTTTGATCGTTGCATTTTATCTTAGAAGGTTTGTATGAAATGAAATCTCGAAATATCTGTGTGATCTTGTAAAATTAATAGTGTGTATGTAATAATAAGTACTTTTGTTAATAATTGTATAATAATACATGCAGTATTATTGTATATTGCATATTATTATGTTTAATTACCTAACCTACAAAAGTCACGGTATTAATGTTGTAGAATGGCTCCAAGATATGAATTAGCAGTTGGTCTCAATAGAGGCCACAAAACTACTAAAATTCGCGTTGCAAAAAATAAGAATGAAAAGAAAAAAACAGTGTGCGTCCTACCAGCAAGATTAAAAGGGGTTAGTATATATTAGTGCTCCAATATTGTTATCTCATTTCTGTTTGTATTTTATAATTATACAAATTATGGAATATAGAACAATAAAAATAAGTAATAAACCGTAAAAGTCAATACTAAATAGCATAAATATTTTACTTTCAGAGACAAACCAAACACAGTAAATTTGTGAGAGACTTAATACGAGAGGTAACCGGACATGCACCGTATGAGAAACGTGCAATGGAATTGTTAAAAGTGTCTAAGGATAAGAGAGCTCTAAAGTTTTTGAAGAGAAGGGTAAGGATGTCAATTAATTTCATGTTATTTAAACTGTTCTCTATTTCAAATAAATATGTGATCTGTCACGTATGTTCTAAAATATTAACATATTTTGTTCTTAAATTTTCTAGTTGGGCACACATATCAGAGCCAAGAGGAAACGAGAAGAACTAGGAAACATTCTCGTACAAATGAGGAAAGCAGCTGCACACCATTAAGTTGTTTTTACTTCGTAATAATTAATTTTACTAATTATTATTACATATAATACTTACAATAAATCTGTAATAAAAAATATATGTGAAAATCTATTACTTTTTATTTCACGTAAAAAAAAACAATCCCTATGTTCTCTCTTTTGTAATGTAGTTTGAAATAACAGATTGGAGAGAATGCACGAATGGAAGTGCAGTAGTTCAAGTTGTGAGCCTATTGACTTTTGTGGTTTAAATATAAATATGGCAATAATTCAAAGAAACAAAAGTAAAGTGAATAAAATTTAATACTGCGTTTATAATTAATGTTTGAAAAACCCTTATGATGAACTACAGTACAATTAATTTTCTATGACATTTTTAAAGAAAAATTTTATATTACATAACCTATTTCTAAATAGGTTATACGTATTATTTACATCATTTATTTAGTGTTATGTTAAACTTCAATCATGAATAGTATAACTATGTTAAGTTCGCTGAAGCAAATTAAACTTTGTAAAACAAATTATATATTGACAAGGAAGTGGTTCATTAAGAAATTTGCACGATACAACAAGTTAGATGTTCATAATTTTCAACAGCATCAAACAGTGCATACGACTGTCACTCAATTAGAAATTTCTAAAGAAATCGAAAAGAAAACTACTGATTTGAAACACTTTCGAGATTTGTCAAAATCTGGACCATCGCTTAAAGATTTTTTAATACCAAAAACTGAAATTCCTAATGAACCAATTAGTGTACCAAATATTCCTTATATACAAAATATTGATGGCTCTGGTCAAAAGGGTAAATAAAGATCAAATGTTGAAAGACAGTAATATTAAAAGAAATTGTAAATCTTATTTATAGTATTCTTTATTCATTAAATTACATTCTTTTTAGTCTACTTTGAGGTTTATGGTTGCCAGATGAATGTAAATGACACGGAGGTGATCTGGTCTATTTTAAAATCTCATGGTTACAGAAAAGTAGATAATATAAAAGAAGCTAATATAATTCTGATCATCACGTGTTCTATTAGAGATAATGCAGAGCAGAAAGTATGGAACAAGTTAACTGATTTAAACAATATTAAGAAAAAAAACAAAAAATTTCCAGTAAAAATTGGTCTATTAGGTAGAATTATGAATTTATAGATAATTGATTTATGATATTTTACAATAATGTAAATTTCATTATATGTTATTATAATAGGATGCATGGCAGAACGATTAAAGAATAAAATATTAGAGAGAGGTAAACTTGTTGATGTCATAGCTGGACCAGACAGTTATAAGGATTTGCCAAGGCTATTGTCTGTACCAGATGATGAAACAGCTATTAATGTTGTTTTATCATTTGATGAAACATATGCAGATATTACACCAGTGAGATTAAATCCGAATTCTACTAATGCATATGTGTAATTTATTTTTCTTTTTATTAATACACTACCATCCAAAAATTTGGATCAGTTTTACATAAAATCATCCTTCCCTGACAGATAAAATAATGGTATTAAAAATACTGATATTTATTTATAAATTTACTTTTTAAGTTATTATGTAAATTGTAATTATGATTATGCATTTATTTTTTAAATATGAAATTGTTAAGTGCTCCAAACTTTTGATGGGTAGTATATATAATTTACAATTAATTGTCATTACCTTTATGTATTTTCTTTACATTTTTTCAGCACCATAATGCGTGGTTGCGATAACATGTGTACATATTGTATTGTTCCATTCACAAGAGGAAGGGAAAGATCAAGACCCATTGAGAGTATAATCAAAGAAGTTCAATCTTTATCTGATGATGGTGTAAAGGAAGTGATGCTTCTTGGGCAAAATGTAAATAGTTATAGAGATACATCTCAATCGGAATTTTATGTGAATAGTAATATGGAAACACATTTAGCAAAAGGTTTTAAAACAGTATATAAAAATAAAAAAGGGGGACGTCGATTTGCTGATTTATTGGATGAAGTTTCTCGTATTAATCCAGAAATGAGAATCAGGTACTAAGAATTTTCTTGTTTGGAAATATCTATTGGTTTCAACTATAAATCATTTTCAGATTCACATCTCCTCATCCGAAAGATTTCCCAGATGAAGTTTTACAATTGATAGCGGAAAGGCCAAATATATGTAAAGAAATACATTTACCTGCGCAGAGCGGAAATTCTGCGGTTTTGGAAAGAATGAGAAGAGGATATACGCGAGAAGCATATATAAATTTAGTGCATCACATACGCGAAATTATTCCGAATATTTATTTCTCTAGTGATTTTATTACTGGATTTTGTGGAGAAACGGAGGAGGAATTTCAAGATACGTTATCATTGATAGAATTAGTGAAATATAATAAAGCCTTTCTTTTTTCTTACAGCATGCGGGAGGTAATCTAACTTTTACAAAAGAATATAATGTGTTGAATTATATTTGAAAAATATAAGAAATATATATAATTCATCACATGATGGATCTTTTATTATTATTTCTAGAAAACGACTGCACACCGTCGCTACAAAGATGATGTACCACCGAATGTGAAGAAAGATCGACTTCAAAGAATGATGTCAACATATAAAACGGAAGTGGAAAAAGTAAATAAATCACAGATTGGACAATTACAGCTTGTACTTGTAGAGAAAGTAAGACAATTTACAATTTATTGTAATTCAACTTTGTTGCAGAATCGATATAAAATTTATGATGTATCAATAAATATATAATAATTAATTTTAGCCAAGTAAGCGATCAGACGAAAAATTTCAAACAAGGAACGATGGTAACACAAGAGTGTTAATTCCCTCCATGACTATACCTACTGCAAAATATTCCGATGACTCGAGAGCGATAAAAATTGGCGATTACGTTGTTGTAAAAATCGAAGACGCTAATTCGAATTCGTTAATGGCCACACCTCTCTATCATTCGTCGATAACAGAATACGCATCTTCATCTGTGTAGTAAAAATGTAGAATATGACATTTCATTTGTTTCATTTAATCACGCTTATTATTGAATAATACATTAAATTTCGGAACGAATCATGTAATTTTAATTATAATCGTACAAAATTAAATCAACGTATTCACTGATATAATAGTATCGTGATATAACAGTATTGTGAATAAAGAAAAAAAAATTTATATAATAAATAGATAATTAATTCAATCTATTATTGTGATACATGACGATTTATAGGTACGTAATTTCTCCTGTTACGTGAATGATATTCATAATTTTCTAACAAAATGTTACATACTGATTAAGAAAGGCTTATTCATACTTAATATACTCCATTTCTAAAAAAAATTATCAGCTCATAATAACTTTTTTTTCACAATAAATACGATCGATTTGTGACGATAAATTTAAACACAGATTCTGTAACACCTTACAATTTAACGTACGTTTATAAATTATTTACACAACTATAATGTTTTATTCTTTGAAACATGAATCATTTTGTACAAAATTATCTATTAACAATATAATCAATTTAAATTTACAGATACATTAAAAAAAAAAAAACAAATTATATTAACACTTGAGTAGGTATCATTATTAACTTATACATCGACGTCTTTGGAAGTACAGAGTTCATTTCCAAACGATACGTTTTATATATTCACATTAATCAAAATCGTACACATTAAACAAGACTCGCAGTTCCGATATTAATAACGCAATTGTCGGCACCACGTTCGTAGACCGTAAGATCATGGTTCCTTGGTTGTTCCAAGAGTGCAGCCAGTTGTTCTCCACTAGGGAATGCGTTTGGTGTAGTCGGAAGAATCACATCGCATTCTAATTGACCTAAAATAAGAAGAAAATAATGAGAAAAAATTATAATAACAGGAGGAAGTAACAAATACGGGAGAGTTTTAACAAATTATAAAAAATGAAATAAAAAATAAAGAAGATATATAATTAAGATTTTATGATCGAATAATATTTTTACCTGACAATGAGGGCGAAGCACCTTTGCTAGAACCGTACATGCGAGTGCTGTATCCGGAATCATTGTGTGCGTCATGCAAAGGCGGCGTTGGGCTATAAACCGCGTTACGGGATCTATATGGCATTCTGGCAATGCTGTCATAGTGCACATGTTCTGACAATCCTCCTTTTCCAGAGATCCCTCCGCTTAATGCTTCTGGTTGTTCGTCGTCTCCCTCGCTGCTCTCGCTATCATTGCCTATGTTTGCAACATCGTAATTTACTAACTATAAAAATGATCCACGATTATTATCGACCAATTTCTTTCGGATAAGTTCGTTTCAGATAAAAAATATTAAGGATGAAAGTAAATAAAAATCAGTGAATAAATAAATCTGTTGTTGCGTTGATTTTTTGTTTGCTTGCAATTAAAAAAATTGACTGCATTTTTTTTTTTTTTTTTTAAGAATTTCAAAGAATATTCTATCAACTTGAAATGCGTGTAATGTAATTTCACCTTCTCCACGCCAGCTGTTTCCTACACCACCTTGTGGCTGCACTCTTTGATTTTGGGAACACTGACTGTGCTCTGGACTGGTGGGTTCGCTGCTTCCGGAACGCGGACCCCTCCAACCGTTATGCATGCCAGGTACTTGTTGAAATCGCTTAATCATCTCGTGAACACTACGTCGTCCGGAAGATTTCCACTCGTTCAATGTGTCCTCGTTCTTTCGTGTTGCGTTACTTTCGTCCTGGCATGAATTTTTGCCATGATCTCGAGATGTAAGATCCTGGTGACAGTTTCTTAATTTAAAATCATCTTATAGAAACTTATAAACTTTAAAATAAACTTCTTAATTTAACATAAACTTATCTGTATTTTATTCTGTGGGAAAATCTTATGCTGACAAGAATTTCAGATAATTATTTGAAAAATAAACTTTCCAGAAGTTTTATTTTAAAGTTATTAAAAAAATTATTACGTTATTCCACGTTTTTTGGTGTTCTTCAAGCTGCTTGACAAAAATTCACGTTAATTTGCATTGAATTTGTACTAAAAAATAAGCTACTAATAATATAATATATGTTTTTAAGCAGTTTAGTATTAGCTACGAAAAGTATTCGCATACTTAATTATTATATATTTACACGATAGTTATTAAAATTCCGAGAATATAATTAATATTTTCATATGAAATGTAGAATCGAATAAATGTAGAATTCAATAAATTGAGAATACCTTTGTACTGCATAATTCATGAAATTAATGGCTACGTTATCAACCCTTTATTATCGTTCCATCTCCGATCTTACTACGATTCACAATCTCAACAGTTGATTGAAAAAAAAGAACGGAGATGAAACAATTAGCTCTGCGTCTCACGTTATATCGTGCCGTCTTAAAAGATCTCAGAATGAATCCGAGCGCAAGAGCAGAGGACGGATCGATCCCTATCTTTCGATCGCAAACACGACTCGCCATCTCGCGCACCATCCGCAACGTGTCATTAGAGTCTCGCAGCTTAATCAACACCTTGGACCGTGGACGTTTAGCGTAGCTAACAAAAGAAAGAACCACCGATTACACACTCACGCGTTGCTGATGGACCTGCTGCCTGGAACCGATCGACGGCGAGGAGGCGGCGCCTAGCGGCGAGCTGCGATCCTGCTTGATCACCCCGTCGAACGTTTCGTTCAATCTAGCCGGCACGTCGAGCACCCTCAGCGTTGACCTCGAGACACCAGAACCGGACGGAAGGTCCCTCATGGACTTGCTGAGCCGCGGTATTGCAGGAATATCAAGATCGTCGAGACTGCCGCGATGAATCGGTGTTTCACCGGGGATCTCGAAGCTCCTGTCGTGAGGTCTGTCATCCAGTAGATCCTCCAAAGACCTGGCACGGGTAGGTGGGAACGGTTGGTCGTTGGCGAACGTGGCTTTAGCCGGTCTTTCGCTGTGCCTTCCCTTCCCGCCTCTGGAAAGACGTTGCTGCAGATGCATATGCCGTTCGTCGCACCTGGACCTCTCCGCCGCCACGCATCTCGTCAACTCGGTGATCTGCCCTCTGGTCCTCCTTTCTAGATTAGCCACCTTCAAGTCCAATCTCTCGTGCGCCTGATCTATGTGGGCCTTCAGCTCGGCCTTGTCCCTCTCCAGCTTAGCCTCCATATGCCTGAAGAACGGCGCACAGTAGCAGGTGTATCCCACTCCCACCGGGCCCTTTCTGATGTTGCCAGCCAAGTCGAGATAGTATTGCTCGCCACGGCCGAGCGGATCCGGTGGCAGGGAGTCCAAACGCGGCTGGGGAAACGCTTCCGGATCGGGATAGTAGTGACAACCGTACGGCGACCACTGTCTACCCATCACCGCCTTCTCGAAGTGGACCTTGTTCTGCTTGCCGAACGATTTGTGCTTCTTTTTCTCCTTCTTCGTGCAACTATCCCTGCTGCCGCTGGTACCACTACCGGTCTTCTCTCGCTTCTTCTCGTTCTTGCTGCTGCTCTTCCCGTCGACCTTGTCCACAGTCGCCGGCGTGCTATCCTCCTCGCGGCTCTTGCTCCGCGTTCTGCTCTTGCTTCGCGCTTTACCGATTATCTCCAATATCTCCTGGAGGTTCTTGCGCCTGGCAATGTCCTTCGCGGTCTCCCCCTGCTTGTTCCGCAGGCTACGATCGCAGCCGGCCTCCAGCAGGATCCTCGTCAGCTTCCGACGTCCCATCGCCGCCGCAATGTGCAACGCTGTGTCGCCGTTCTGCGTTTAGAAACGATCGTTAGTTGTCTTTTAATTTCTTTGTCGGTTTTTATTTGTCTTTTCTTTTCTTTTTTTTTTTTTTATTTTAATCGTCGAGTGGTTCTCTCAGAGGCTTCCACGATCGACGCGCGCAGATACGAAGATGATCAAGTTGGACAGAAATTTTCTTCCATTTTTCTTTTGGACGGACTTCGATCGTGGAATACACAAGGGAAAATGGGAAGATAGAAGTCCATGGGGTAAAAGGGGTTTCGCGCTTCGATTTTTATATATACATTGAAGGATACTTTTATCTCTTTCTTCTTTTTCTTTTTGTTACTATTTTTTTATTCCTGTATTTTAAAAAGATTCTTCTCGTAGACTTAAGTACAGTAAACAATTTTGTTAAGTTTCTGAGTTTGATACTTAATTACGTATAATAGTATAATAATTAATTAAGTATAATAGTATATATATACCTAAGTATATTATAAAATATATTGTACCTAAGATTATTAATATATATATTAATAAACTTTAGATATAATATACTTTATAAACTTAGGTATATATATATTAATATACTTAATGAATTAATTTATAAACGATACATATATAAATATGTGTATTTCATTAATATATATGTAATATGTATATTATTCATAAATTAATTCATTAAGTTTATGGAACTTTTTCATTTCTGTTTGCTTTTGCTATAAACTTTTGTAAGTGCAATAAACTTTTAATAGCGATTGTCTAATTGTTTCAAGAATGTTGTCTAATTGTTTGCTTATATCCATAAATACATTTATTCCTTTACTCGTAAGTTTGTTTGATTATTTTACCAAATTAATTAAAAGATTCCATAGGAAAAAAAGGTACAATAATGTACGAACTATAACTATAATGTTTTAAATTTTTTCTTACTTTATTTTGATCCGATACTCGACAAAGCGCAGAAATCAAGATTCTTGTCACTCCAGCGTGTCCATACCTCGCAGACGTATGCAACGGTGTGTCTCCATACTGAAAAATTGAAGATTAATAAGATAATAAGATAGATAATTTCATTATCATTCATTATACGCTTGTACGACATTTTTAATTCTACAACAATGCTTTAATGCTTTATTGCAAAATAACTGTCGAATCATTGTTCTATGTAATATTATAATTGTATTATGAGCAATTTATTGTTATATTAAGTTAACATTAAATTATTAATATAATATTATTCTCCTTGTTTAAAGAATTACTATATTAGTAATAGCTTTTTAAACTACATAATATCAGATTTCAAAGTAAAGTAATTGTTATTTATATTGTCTATTATATTATGATATTATTATAATATGTTATTATTTATAATACAATAATACTTCAATTCAACGCTGAAGATATATTGTTACTATTAGAAGGCAAAGTGTTAAATAAGCTTAGCATCTTAGTACATAGTATGTAAATAGACGTAAGGGAATAAAAAAGTTTTACTTTAATTAGTTTCAATTTAAATTACTTTTATTTGAATTACTTTTATTTGAATTACTTTAATTTGAATTACTTTCATTTGAACTGCTTTTATTTGAACTACTTTTATTTAAACTACTTTAAATTACTTTTATTTAAATTACTTTTATTTAAATTATTTTAATTTTAATTACTTTAATTTGAACTACTTTTACTTGAATTACTTTTATTTAAATTAATTTTATTTGAATTATTTTTATTTAAATTACCTTTATTTAATTTAAATTACTTTTACATTGACTTATGTTACATATACATACAGAGAAGAGAAAAGAAAGAAATATGAGCATGCAAAGGAAAAATTCATTTTTGAAGTTGTCGACGATTGAGATTCCTCTGAAGTTTTTAATTTCTTGCTACCGATTATATCGTTATATCGCATTATATATTATTATATAATACATATTATACATCGAATGATATCGATTCGTGGAATACTCTTTTAGAATTCGGAAGGAAAGCTGCTATATCGAATCAGCGTTAAACGTGATCTCACTGTATTATATAATTTAAAAAGTCATTGCGTAATATCAAGATATTAATATATAAATAATATATATAACATAATATATAATTAATATATATAATTATATGTAAATAATATCAAGATATTAATGTATAAATAATAATATATAATATATAAT